CACTCTTCTGCTAGGGTGTGTCTGAGAAAAGAATACATTACTTGTAAAAATATGAGCTTAGAAAACATCCTTTCTTGTAGGCATTACCTTGCATTGCCTTGGTAGAAGCCAGTTGGAGCTGTACTGTTTTTTCCGTGCTGGGAGTACCGTAAATGCACAGGTGGCAGTATAGCTCTGGGAGCGGGGTTTGTATATAAACACCAGCAAGCGTCGCAGCATTTCTGCCGAGACAAACCTGCTGGAGTTTTTCTTGTTTGTTTTCCTTCCAGGTTTGTACAAGAAGTCTGGAAAACTTGTCTTCCTGGGCTTGGATAACGCAGGCAAAACCACTCTGCTGCACATGCTCAAAGACGACAGGCTGGGTCAGCATGTCCCGACACTACATCCCAGTGAGTCTGCCGGCGACTGAGCCCCACCTGCCTCGTGCTGTGGTTTTTCCTCTTTCATTTTGGGGACGCGGTGTTGAAAGATGCCTCAGTGATAGCTCTGCACTGGGGTGACAGACTTTAAGAGTCTTCAAGACTGCATCTGAGGTTGCAGTTGCGCGTTGGTTGCCGGACCTGAAGCGGATTTGCGTTTTTCCTCTCAAATATAAAATGGAGAGCTCGAGAAATGGCGTGGTTCAATTAATATGATGTCCCTGTCTTGGGGAGGGAGTGGGTTTCTGATGAAAAGTGTAATAAAGTAAAATAATGCAGGTTAATAAGCTTGTGCTTAAGTGGGGAGGTAGGAGAAGTTATTTTCTCCCGCTCGCGATTTTGCGAAGCGACTCCATTTTAGTGGCTGAATTCGACAGGAGACTTGGGGAATTCTTGAATTCTACAGGATACCTTACATGAGGAGTGTGTGTGATGTTAAGAAGCGTCCCCACGAAATTCTGTCCGTGACAGCTTCTTTATTTTCCTGCAACACAGCCTGTATTTTTCCTTTTCAGCATCAGAGGAGCTGACGATTGCTGGAATGACCTTTACGACTTTTGATCTGGGTGGACATGAACAAGGTAAAAGTGAAGTTGCTGAGTGGGAGACAACAAATGAGGTTAATTTTCTGATTCCTGTGATGCTCTCCAGCCACCTTAAGAAAAATCTACCAAAACGTGATACTAGAAAGCGATAGCAATTAGCAATACCTAATCATTTGTCGCCTGAAATTGTTTATGAAGCAATATGTGGAAATAACCTCCTGGCTCTAGGATACCGGTTGTTTCAGTGGTTCAATACTTCTGCTTAATTCTGGCAGTTTGGAAAAAATGCTGCCAGTTCATCCTCTGCTGCCTGAAATATTTTTAGCCATGGAAGACTTGACTGTCACAAGCTTATTCTTTTGAATAATTGCTGAATTTTTATTTTTAGACTTTCTAGAAGTTCTAAGCAAAGTTTTTCTGCCGTTTTTAATACACAAAAATATTGGAAGACAGACAGCCTGGCTAAAAAGGCAGCCTTGGTCGCCGAGGCTTACTTAGGAAAGGAGAAAGAGCGTAACTGGCTCTCCGAACTGCCTGGCTTGCGGCCTCGGCCAGTCCCTTCGCCAGAAGGTCTTACGCTGCCTTGAGGAAATCGTAACGAAGAGGGTGGCTCCCGCTCTTGGCTGTAGTTTTCCCGTCGCTTCAGGGAGCGTTTTCACAGGGCAGCGTTTGTCGCTTCTGTGTTCCAGCTCGCCGCGTCTGGAAGAACTACCTGCCGGCCATCAACGGGATCGTCTTCCTGGTGGACTGCGCAGATCACTTGCGTCTTATGGAATCCAAAGTTGAGCTTAATGTAAATATACCTTTTTTTTTTTTTTTTTTTTTTCTTCCCCGAAGACCTCTGAATAGCTAAATTATAAATAATTCTTCTTTTATGGGCTGGAACTTGGGCACAGTGCATTTTGAGAGTCCCGTGCTTTGGATTTGCCCTTCCAGTGCATCTTTTACGCCAGCAATGCGGTGTCCAAAGCACGTGCTTATAGGAATTTGCACATTACTTTATGCAGGGACTGGAACAGTATGGATTTATACGCGTACTCTCCCAGAGCTGGAGAAGCAAAATATTTGCTTCAAACGATGAATGTTTTTTTTTCTGCCTCTGCTTAACTATTCTTCCATCTTGCACGCAGGCGCTAATGACAGATGAAACAATATCCAACGTGCCAATCCTTATCTTGGGTAACAAAATCGACAGACCGGAGGCCATCAGCGAGGAGAAACTGCGGGAGATCTTTGGGCTCTATGGACAGACCACGGGAAAGGTAGGGAGGCATCCAAATCTTGGGTCATCTGCGAGCAAGGGAGGGCTTGCGTGCTTCATCGCGGAATGAGGCTGCATCTAGAAACTAATTGAGGTGTTTCTGCCAAGTTGTCCACATTATTGACCAAGCTGAAGCCGTAATAATAATAACAATAATAATAATAATAATAATAATAATAACAACAACGCCCTCGGGCAAGTTGTGAAACTGCCAGAACCGTGCAAAACACGGTACCTCTACAGTGATGAGGGAATTAGGTGTCAAGCTGGTATTTTAACACCTTGTCTGGCTCTTCTGGTTTCGTTACTCTGCGTTTCCATCCAGTTACCCATCTGATCATTTTTTTCAGCGTTGAAAACCAGTACAGTTAGAGAGAATTGATCGGAAATGCTGGGTAAGGGTAGTAAAACACTGCATGACTACTCCTGGCGCTAGATTATCCAGGCGGTGACGATCGCTTCTTGTATCGCGCTGCCAAGTGTCGCAGGCGCATCAGACTGCGCATCGAACGTGGTTTGTCGTGCCCCTTCTCCCACGCTGCTGGCTCCGAAAGTCCCATGGGCAGGTCCCTCTCGCCAAGGGGCAGGGGCCGGCCTGCAGCAAAGAGGGGAGATTCCCTGGGTTTCCCTAGAGGGTGGTGGCTGGGTCGCCGCTTCCCTGAGGGGCGGCGGGGGTGCAGTTCTGACTTCCCTTTGGCTTTCCCTAGGGAAACGTGCCGCTGAAAGACCTGAACGCGCGTCCCATGGAGGTGTTCATGTGCAGCGTGCTGAAGAGGCAAGGCTACGGCGAAGGCTTCCGTTGGCTATCGCAGTACATTGACTGATACTTGGACGGACATAAGAGTTTTACTCCTCTGGACTGATCCTGTTCGCAGCTTCCTATGGACTTTTCTATCGGAACACGGAAGGCTTTCCAACCGCCTGCTGGCGTTGACCAAGAGACTCCTGGTTTTCGGCTGCCCTATCGCACAGTGGTGACACAACTCTTTTCCACGTGACGGGGAGACGGCACCGTTCTGCACGCGGGTGCGAGTTGTCCCTTTCAGTTCGGTTACAGCGGGGCTGGTGTGATCAGGGAAGGAAAACTCTGCACGCTGCACTGTAACAGCTGAAAAAGAGAGCACGTCTCACCACTGTGGTTAATTGACTTCAAAAAAAAAAAAAAACAAAAGAGAGAAAAAGAAAAAGCAATTATATTTTTTAAAGAAAGTGTTAATGTGAACGGCGTCCCTTCTAACTTTTTAGTTTAACGTTCATCTTGTTTAGTCCAGAGTCCGGTTAGGGTTTTTTAAAAACATATTTAACAATATTTAGGTATTTCACGAATTACTGAACCAAGGTATCACGATATTAGAAGTCCTCAATAAACATAGCATTTGGGCTTAACTGAGCTGTAGGGTGGCTGTGCTGTGTCACGCTGGCCGACGACGACGAGGGTGCCGTTGGGACCGACGTGTGCAATCCGAAGCTTCTTTAGTTTACGGGGATTTTTTTTGTTTTGTTTTAGTTGGAGAGGAGGACCCGCCAGCGCGCCTGCGTGGGGCGTTGGGA